GTGCAAAGCCCATGATTTGTCCTTTTCCAGCTGTCTATAGTGGAGACGTCCAAACTGCACACCAGGAAGGCTTGACACCAGTAAGCCTATTACATGAGCCAATTCTCTAATAGTAACTTTAGTCTTCAACAATAGATTCTCACAGGCTAACTTAACATGGGCGGCTTTTGAGGGGGGAAGTTGAATAGTCATAGAAATGCTATTGAGTAAAAACCCCAGGAATTCAAGTTCCTGAGTAGGGATCAACACCGATTTTTCTGGGTGAATAACAAACCCAAGACTATCAAAACATTTGACTGTGTTTTGGATGTTTTGTTCGCAGGCACTGCGAGTATATCCCACAAGAAATGAATCGTCAATATGCTCCATACTGACATGGCCCACAGAGTGTAAGTGAGCATAAATGGGTTTAAGGATTTTAGTGAACAGCCTAGGGGCACATGCCAAGCCATTTGGCAGACAAGTGTATTGATAATAATTTCCTTCCCACTCAAACTTAAGAAATGTCCTGTCTTCTGATGCTATTGGGACAGAATAGTTGCCATCCTTAAGGTCTACTGATGTCATAAAGCATTTTGGCCACATGAGTTTGAGTGCAGTAAGAATATTGTCCGTTTTAAAGTAGTCCACAAATTCATTAAGAGATCTCAAATTAAGAATCATGCGGTAGGTGCCATCCTTTTTGGGTCTCCCAAACACATTGGATACAAATCCGTTCCCTGTGTGGCATGTTTTCTCAATAACCCCTTTTAAAAGTAGTTTAGATATCTCCCCATCAATTACCTCTTTGTCAGAGAGGGAAGAATAGATATGTCTAGGTTGTCAGGAATCTTCCGATTGCTTCTAACACGAGAGATTTTCCCGATAATATTCACGTTAAATCGACCAACGGACTCGAATCACTTCACTATATTTTTATTGTCCCAGCACAGAGAAAAATTACAATCGCTAGATCACATGTCAACTCGCACATGGTTTTGAAAACCTAAACTTACACCACGTGATTACAGCTTATCCCTAGGTAACTAGAACAAAAGGAACAAAGTTCAATTTCACAGCGTGACAGTCACGCAGTCCATTTCCTAACACTCTCCCCCCATTTCTCTCGAGACAGCAAATGTCTTAGAGGCTATCTTAACCTGATCAGTACACAATGATAAATGAAAACCATGATGAATGAAAATAAAAACACTCTCTCTAGTCTTGATCATCCGTTTGAGCAAGTTTCTGGATACGAGCCCTAGCAGCAACTGCAGCGTTTCTTCGTGGTCTAAAGGCTGGTACAGTAGGGTTCAGAGCTGCTGGTGCCATTGTCATGTCACAGGTAAGCTCAAGAGGATACAAATGCTGCAGTGGGCGTTCAATGACTGACTTGGGAGTGCGTAGCTTTGCTCCTCGGACCACACCATCTCGACCAATTATCAAGTTGATCACCACGCCCAACTTCCATTGAGCACGGTTCTTTTCATCGGACTTGATGATAACCACATCTCCTACTGCTGGATGGGCATTGTCACCCTTGTGCTTTAGGCGGTGTCTCTCCCGGAGCCCCCTCAGGTATTCTTTGGTCCAGCGGGACCACACTACATCTTTACACTTGCCCAAGTACTTTGCACGCTTTCGGAGGTCATAGTCTTGGATGTGGTTTGGCTCCAATTCTGGCAGTGCATTCGGTTGCATGTGCAATAGAGAACTTGGGGTAAGGATGGGCAGCTCGATGTCATCCTCCACATAATCTAGTGGCCTGTTATTAAGGGCAACTTCCACATCTAGCACCACTTCTTGGAGTTCGTTCCACAACAGCAATCCATTCCCGATAGGCTTGTATAGGATCCTTTAACCAGCCCGATCAATCTTTCCAACTGGACGCCCCACCAGGGCGCACAACTGAGATTGAATTTCCACTCGATCCCCTGCTGGGCGAGGAACCCATAGATCCTCTCATCTTTCATTACTTGCTCAATCCATTTGGATGCACTGACAAATGTTTTACCATTGTCGGAGTAGATTCGCTGCGGTCTCCCACGTCGGGCGATGAAGCACTTCAAGCTTCTAATGAACTCAGTGGTCTCAAGGTTTGGCACAAGGTCTACATACACAGCACATGTAAGGCTGCAAGCATATAGTAGGATGTATGCCTTTCCTTCAGTTTTTGATCTCTTCTGGTACCTCAACGGTCCTGCAAAGTCCACTCCACTTCCAACTTGGAAGGGTGTTTGGCCCACTGTGCGATCCCTTGGGAGGTTCCCTGGGGGAGGAGAGGTATAGGCCTGCGCCCTGAACCGCTGACATCCACGGCAAGACTTCACGATCCTTTTAGTTAATCTTCTCAGGCGTGGCACCCAGTAGTGCTCTCATACTTTTACCATCGTACTCCCAACTCCCCCATGCAGCACTGCAACATGGGCCTGGGCCACTAACTTCTCAGTGTACCGTTGTCCATCTGGTAGGAATATCGGGTAGTGGTCCTGAACTCTGCCACGGCATTCCAGTACTCCATCTTCATTTTTCTGTAGATTCAGCTGCAGCTTGTCTTCTTGGTATCGCCCATCAGCAGTAGCTCGCGCCTGCACTCACTTCACTCAAAAGAGTTCTGCTTTCTTTGTTTCGTCTGCGGTTAGCGGTCCCTCCAACCTCTTGGTCTTCTTGGAGCAAGAATTTTGGGTGAAACGGATTATCCATGCGGTCACTCGAATTGCTTTCCACTGGCTGAATTTTTCAACAAGGTCATCCAGCTTGTCTGCCACTGTCACTGCTACTGCTACTAGCATGTCTTGTTTTGCTTTAGCTTCCGCCAATGATTCTTGTGTGGCATTCGTCACTATGTCAGGGGGCCAGCATGCTTTGTCTGACAACCACTCAGGGCAGTTCCACCATAAGGCATGGTTGGATACTTCTCCGCTACGGCTTCCAACATCAGCTGGGTTGTTTGATGTTCTTACGTGATGCCACACTACATCAGAATGCGCTTGAATCATTTCAACTCGGTTGCTTACAAGCTGTTTGTATTCTCCTGGGCATCTTATCCAATGCAGGGCAACAGTGCTATCGAGCCAACAGTACTTCACGGTTACAGGAAAGCCTTTCAAAGCCTCACTCACATTTGACAGGAGATTTACTGCCATGTGACCTGACACCAACTCTAACCGAGGTATGGTTAATCCTTTCTTCGCTAATCTTGCCCTTGAAGCAACTAGCCCTTGGTTGACACCCTTCTCTTGCACCACTACAGCATACACTGCAGCAGCCACACCTTTCCCACTCGCATCCCCAAAGGCATGTAACTCAATGGCTTGGATGTCTTCTTGATGTGCTGCTAATGATCGAGGTACGGTGACATGGCTTGGAAGTTTCTCCTCCCATCGGATCCAACTTTGCATCAGATTGCTTGGCAGTTTAGCATCCCAGGCTAGCTTCGCATCACAGATATCACGAGTTTTATTAACATGCGAGGCGTGCGAGGCACCATGCAAGGCGTGCGAGGCATCGCAATTTCCTTAATTTTTACACATGACCATATCGTGGGCTCTAGTGTAGAACTCATCGAGGTTGTGTTTTTTAAAGTTCACCGCTGACCAGGTTATGGAATTTTATTGGATCGCGGGCTCAAGTATTTCCCAAATTATTAGAACAAAGCTAAAAATTTTTACATTCACACTTTTGTTAAAGTAATATTGGGAATCATTTCTTGATTAATTGACAAATGTCAAACAAGGCATCCGCTGACCAGTGTCACATGACCATATCGCGGGCTCAAGTGTAGAACTCATCGAGTTTATGTTTTTTTAAGTTCACCGCTGACCAGGTTATGGAATTTTATTGGATCGCAGGCTCAAGTATTTCCCAAATTATTAGAAGAAAGCTAAAAATTTTTACATTCACACTTTTGTTAAAGTAATATTGGGGAATCATTTCTTGACTAATTGACAGCTGTCAAACAAGGCGTCCGCTGACCAGTGTCACATGACCATATCGCGGGCTCAAGTGTAGAACTCATCGAGGTTGTTTTTTTTAGTTCACCGCTGACCAGGTTATGGAAATTTATTGGATCGCGGGCTCAAGTATTTCCCAAATTATTAGAACAAAGCTAAAAATTCGGATCTCTGCTTTCAGGCTTGGCTAAATCTATTTAATATGGTTTATCTTACATAATTCTATCACGCTTTATTGTTTATTGCTTAGCCCACACCCACTTTTGTAACTTTTAGGTGTCAAATTCTTGTTTGCCAACAAGCACCCCTGGCTGAACACATGTGGGAGTCCAGCCCCCCAGGTTCTAAAGAGGGTCAAGAGTCAAAAAGTCCTCTTCTGTGGGGGTTTATCAATAAATCAATTCTAGTCACACACATCGGCCTTTATTTAATTCAACTCGTTAAGAGACGGACCATTGAAGAAGAAAGACTTTATTTATTGAGGATAGCACGTGATAGTGCACAAACACTAATAAACTTGTGGTCCTCCTAATTACAATAAATATATAAATACAATAGAATCATTAATAGAATGAAATAGAAAATTAGCTAAAACAAGTAAGAATATATAAAACTACTATCAATAAAATTTACGGATTAAAATGAGCTAAGCATGATTGGTCCTTATAGTAATATTTAAATACGTTGTCTTTAAAGGCCTTAAGTGTATTAGACTTTTTTAATTCAGGCTTTAACTGATTCCATAATTTTATGGCAGAAACTAGAAAAGTTTTCCCTCCTTCTCTAGCCCTTTTAAACTTAGGTAATAAAAAGTTGTATTTACAAAATCTAGTGTTGCGTGAATGTACTGAACTTAATAATCTTAAGCTATCATTAAGATAATTAGGTACACAATAATTAATCCTTTTAAATAGTATTGAACATTTAGCCATCTTAGTAGAGTCATAAAATGGTATCCACTTTAAACGATTGAATAGCATAACTGATGAACTACGTGGTTCAGCATCTAATAAAACCCTAGCAGCTCTCTTTTGTAGCCTAAGTATTCTTAAAAGAGATTCATTAGAGCAAAGTGACTGCCATGCAACATTGGCATAATCAAATAATGGCTTAATTAAACTATTATAAAATAAAAGTCTTTGGTTAAATGGTAAACAAAGTTTGATCTTATTCAAAATTCCAATTCTTTGTGAAATTTTTTTACACAGTCTGTCAACATAAGTGTTCATTGATAAATCGTGGTCAATGTCTATACCAAGAAGTTTAGCTGAGGGTACTTGTTCCAATGATACACCATTCATAGTTTTAAGAGATAAATTATAACCATCTGGTAGTTTCTTCCCAAGGCGTTTGCCTGTGACCAGTAGTGTTTTAGTCTTTTTTTCATTGAGAGGAAGTTTATTGGTGTGCGTCCAGCATTCAATTTCCTTCAAAGAAGCAGCTAGTGAATCTTGTAGAGAATCAACCGCTGAGATATCTGCCGATAATGTCAGTGTGGTGTCATCAGCATAGAGATCCAGGTCAGCACCATTAACATGTAGAGGCAAATCATTGATATAAATGACAAAAAGTAAAGGGCCAAGGATACTACCCTGTGGAACACCATGCCTCACAAGAGTAGAGTCAGATGTCACATTATCAATAGCAATAAATTGATGTCTATCAGTCAAGTATGAACTAAACCATTTACTTGCAACTGGAGTTAAACCATAGGCATTCAGCTTTTGCAAAAGAATTTCACGGTCAACCATATCAAAAGCTTTCCTGTAATCAACTAAAAGAAGACCGCTGACTTGATCATTGTCTAGATTAAATAACAAATTGTCTATGACTCGTATAAGAGCAGTGTCTGTTCCATGGTGTTTCCGAAAACCTGACTGTAAAGGGTACAATAGATTGTTTTCACATAAGTAATTATAGAGATGATCGTGTATATGACGTTCCAGAATCTTTGACAAAACAGGTAATATCGAAATGGGTCGATAATTGTCAGGATCCTCACGGTCCCCAGATTTAAACAACGGAATGACTTTCGCTATCTTCCAACAATCAGGGAATACACCAGAATTAATTGAAATATTCAAGATTTGAGTAATTGAATAAGCAATAGCTGGTCCTGCTGTTTTCAGATATCTTGCACTTATCTTGTCAATACCCATAGCTTTGTTTGTTTTAAGTCCTAACAGAGCACCCAGCACAAAATCTTTGGTAACAGGAGGAATATTGAAAAGAACATCCGGATCTTTTCTTGAACAAACAAAGTTTTCAACCTTTGAATTGCAATAAGGTACATTAGGTAGTAGATTCCTCAGTGAATCAGCAATTGAAGTGAAGTGATCATTAAACTTTTCGGCCAAAACAACATTTGGCGTCTCAACTGATTTTGATACATCGCCCATTAGTGATTTTATGGTTTTCCACATCTTTTTAGAGTTTCCCTTGTTGTTGTTGAAACAGGTATTATAGTATTTATATTTCGCACTGCGAATCATGTTTACAACTTTATTCCTCGCGATTTTGAAGCAGTTCCAATCCGTGACACAACGACTTTGCCTTGCTTTACGTAGTAAAGAATCCCTTCTGCGAAGCGCTTGTAAAATATTCACAGTCATCCATGGAGCTTGATTTTGTTTGGCTACTTTCTTTACTCGCCACGGACAGTGGGCATCCAAGATGTTAATGAAGAGACCCATCCATGCATTTAAGATATCAGTTAAATCGTCAAAGACAAATGCAGTATTCCAAGGAACTTCTTTGAGGTCGGAAACGAAGGCGGATTTGTCAAAATGCTTCGTATTACGATATTTAATCGTTAAAGATTTATTTTGACGCTTGGCGTTATCCTCATATAAACGAACTCCAAATACAGGCAAATGATCTGACAGCCCATTGTTTTTGACGACAATAGACTTAATTCTTTCAGGAAAATTTGACAATACAAAGTCAAGACAGGTTCCGCTTGATGGTCGAGTAACTTCAGTAATGAGCTGTTTGAAATTCATGTTAGAAAAGGCACGTCCCAGGGGATGTTTCTTGTACGCCGGAGAAATAAAATTAATGTTGATAGCGCCAGTAATGATGGTTTCTAAATTTAATAGATAAACTAATTCTAACATATTTTCGATGGCCTCATCCTCTGATAAATTAGTTGAAGGAGGTCTGTAAATGCCGGCGAATAAAATGGGACGGTTAGATTTGAATGGAAAGACTTCCAACCACAATGCTTCTATATTATTATTATGCTCAATGTCGACTCTCCTTCGATGTTTCAGATCGTCATTCACATAAATTAGAACCCCACCACCATTTTTCAGGCCCATCCGATCCTTTCGGTGCACTGTGAAACCAGGGACTGAGTATAGACAATCTGGGAGGAGCGGTTTCAAAAACGTCTCATTGATTGATAAAATATCCAAACGTGGTCGACCATCTTCATTAAGAAGGAACAATTTTATTTGTTCTAGTTTTGTAGTCGTAAGCCTGTTGACATTCCAAGAACCAAAGCGTATGCCTTTATGACCAAGATGTAGGTTAAAGTAGTCAAAGCCATCAGGCGATAAATCATTTT